TCTCAAGAATTTTTGCAGCTTCTGCTCTCATTCTCTTGGAATACTGATGCCATGTAAACAAGTCTGAGTTAGGCTTCCAGAGATGTCACATGGAGGAGAACCAAGGCACCCTGACCAACGGCCTGCCCTACAAGACCTATAAGTAATGCCATCTTAGATCATTCGGCCCCCTCCAAACCTTCAGCTGATGGGCACCACATAATGAGCTCAGGTGCAGCCTTCAGATGAGCTGCCCAATTGAGCCCAGTCCAAAGTGTCAACCCACAAAAAAAGAGCAAATTAAATGGGTGATTATTTTAAACCATTAAGTGTTTGGTTGGTTTGCTATGGAGAAATAGATAACTGATTCAGATTGTGATAGGGACTGTGGTGACACTAAGGGTGAGAGTAATGGTGATGGCTGTAGTAGTGACAGTAGTGGGGAGCTTGTGATGATGGTGGTGGTGGTGATGGTGATGGTGGTGGTGGTGGTGGTGATGGTGATGATGGTGGTGGTGGTGATGGTGATGGTGGTGGTGGTGGTGGTGATGGTGGTGGTGGTGGTGGTGATAACAGTGGTGGTGGTGATGGTGGTGGTGGTGGTGGTGGTGATGGATGGTGGAGGTGATGGATGGTGGAGGTGGTAGTGGTGGTGATGGTGATGGATGGTGGTGGTGGTGGTGGTGGTGATGGATGGTGGAGGTGATGGATGGTGGAGGTGGTAGTGGTGGTGATGGTTGGTGGAAGTGATGGTGGTGATGGTGGTGGTGGTAGTGGTGATGGTGGTGGTGGTAGTGGTGGTGGTGGTGGTGATCAGTGGTGGAGGTGATGGTGGTGGTGGTAGGGTGGTGGTGGTGGTGATGGCGATGATGGTGATGGTGGTAATGGTGGTGGTGGAGATGATCATGGAATTACTGGTGGCAGTGACAACTCTGGATGCCCTAAGTCATCAGAGAAAAACTGAACTTTGCTTAACATGAATTGTGTGTGTTTTGTTGTGCTACAGTTATTTGAAACTGTGCGTTGTCTTTGGAGTCACATGTACCTTTGAGAATCCAAATAAATCTCCAGGCCCTCTTCCCAGGAAAATAGACGAGTTTTGTTCAGACTTTGGGGACTTGTGGCACTACACTCTGGGTTGGACCCACAGTGGGAAGCCCCCTGCTGTGCTTACCTGGCATTCTCATGTCACAAACAGGTAGTGTCCACCTCCAAAGTGTTTATTAGTGTGACCTTCCTGAACCAGCAGAGAACTGAGTTGCACGACATTTGTGTGACCCCTTCAGTTGGCACTGCACAGCTGCTTAAGAGGGAGGTTTTATTCAGGCATAAATATTTTGAAATATTTATAATTGAATCCCATGTAGTTTAGATAACCTCCGAGGTGGGGAGGGGAAACACACCACCCCGGACTGGGAGATAAAAGGCCTGCAATTTTCTTCCCTGCCACTTGTCCTCCTCCGGGAGCCTCGGTCTCCTCTCTGTGGGACAGGGCAGCCCCCCAGCTCCTCCTGGGTGCAGGACCAATGAGGCTCCCACCCGCAGCCTTTGTCCTGCTACCTGGTGTCACCCCAACTGGGCCCCGAGCACATCACCTCTGGTCCTGGTCTCCACTGAAAATGTAAACTGTGGTCCATGCCACAGTCTCCAGCACTCTTGCGTTATTGTGAAGCTAAAAGGCAGAAATACAAGTGCTCGGCAGCCGAAGAACCTGGTGAGATTACTAAGAATAATGTGGTGACTCTGGCTTAATAAATAAAAGCCCAAGGATCTACCACCAACTCTGAACACACACCCTGTGACACAAACTGACTCATGTGCAATTGCCCACGAATGGCAGGTTTTGCCATTTTTCATTTTTTTCTGAGTTGTCCCTGGAAAAAGTTGTGATCAAGTGTGGTTGGGGAGAATGTTAGTTCTGTCTGTCGGCTCCGTGAGTAAGCAGAGGAAAGTCTGACTGCAAAGGCATCTTCTCAAATGTCCGTGAAGTAAAAGGCTGCAAACCCGAGAGCAATGCCCCACCCCGAGTGGCCCACGTGGTGCCCAGCGTGTGAGAAAGCCATGAAGAGCTTTTCCACACAGAGCCACTTAAGGCCTGCCTCAGCCTGGGAACACATCGGCAGAAAAGGAACAGCACAACTTCCTCCTCCTCCGGGCCAGGCCCGTGGGCACCCACAGCCCAGATAGAGAGGAGGTCCCTTCTCTAAAGGCATACATGTGTCTTACTGTAGCTCCCAGTTAGCCCCCTAAGTGTGAACACACACCCATGTTGCTCCCCTCCCACTATCTCCCCACAAATAGGATGGAACGCAGTCCAAAACTCAGTCATCAGCTTGCTAGTTAAGAACCATGCCTGGAGGTGCCCTGAGCCCTGGCCACCAACCTCAGCCATGCCCTTTGTGGTGCTGAGGGATGGTGTCCGTGGGGCAGCCTGCAGCCTGCTCAGGGCCAGACTGGGGCCTCGGGTCCTGGGAACCCCGGTTGAGGCCGGATTACCTCAGTGCCCCTCCGCAGCCTGCTGCACCCAACCACTGAGAAAAAGAGCAATCACCCAACTTCAGTCTCAAAATGAGAACACTGAGAAGGGCGTGATGGGGGGAAGCAGACCGGAACCCACCAGCAAGGCTAGAACACCAGCCCCACCCGAGTGGGACAGACAGGAGGGAGCCCTCCTCGCACAAGGAGGCAGTAAGGCCAGAGCCGCGACCCTCCAGGGCGCTCAGGAGAGAGCCACCACGTGGCTGCCACACTCAGGCACACTTAGACACAGACATGCACACTCACACAGCCTCAGACAGAAACACACAGCACACACTCACAAATGCACACACCACACACTCGCACTCACTCAAATGCAGACACACCACACCACACGCTCACAGATGCACACACACTCACAGATGCAAACACACACCACACCACACACTCACAGATGCACACACACACACTCAGATGCAGACACACTCCACTCACTTGTACTCAGTCTCAGGCACACACCATACACCACACACGCTCACAGATGCACACACACTCAGATGCAGGCACACACCACACGCCACACACACAGATGCACACACCACACACTCGCACTCACTCAAATGCAGACACACCACACCACACGCTCACAGATGCACACACACTCACAGATGCAGACACACACCACACCACACGCTCACAGATGCACACACACTCACAGATGCAGGCACACACCACACCACGCGCTCACAGATGCACACACACTCACAGATGCAGGCACACACCACACCACGCGCTCACAGATGCACACACACTCACAGATGCAGACACACACCACACCACGCGTTCACAGATGCACATACACACTCAGATGCAGACACACACCACACCACGCGCTCACAGATGCACACACACACACTCAGATGCAGACACACCACACACCACACACACTCACAGATGCACACACTCACACTCAGATGCAGGCACACACCACACACTTGTACTCAGTCTCAGACACACACCACACACCACACACACTCACAGATGCATACACACACTCAGATGCAGACACACACCACACACTTTTACTCAGTCTCAGACACACACCACACACCACTCACATTCACAGATGCACACACACTTGCACTCAGATGCAGACACACAGCACACCACACGCTCACACTCACACAGGACACACACTCACTTGCACACTCACACCACCTGTCCTTTCACACCCCTGGCTCCAGACACCACCACCCACTCAAGGGCCCGCTGGGGATGGCAGAGGATAGATGTACCTGATGCTGCCGTGGGAGGTGTGGGCCGTAAAAGGTGGTGCAGGCACAGCTGACATGAGCTGTAAGGTGGTCTAGCCTGAGTCCAGACACCAGGACAGACTGGAGGCCATTAGCTCCCAGGGGGCCCGGGTGGACCTTGCAGGCCCTGCAGACGGCAGGCAGGGGCATTTGGGGACGAGCTCCCGGCCATCCGGTGGACGGTGGCTTTCCCCTCCCTACCCTGGGAAGTTCCCCACAGCCTGGACACACTGGGAGCACAAGACATCGCCACAGACCCCCACCCCAGCCACCCTACCATCTACCAGGAAAGGAGACAGATGAGACAGGGCCTGTCCTCAGGGGCAGAGAGAGAGGGCCCTGACCAGAGGGCATCCGCACAGGGCCGAGGGCCACCGGGCAGCTCAGGGACCCTCTCCTCCCGGGAAGGGGCTAAAGCAGCCGTTTGCAAACCTGCTCGTCCGAAGAGGGGCCTCACCCCCGCTGCTCCGCCCCCTTCCGGGACAGCTCTGAAAGGGGCTCAGCCCCAGAGCCCAGGGTGGTCTCCACAGCCCAGCCTGCACCTCCCCTCCAGGAGGAGCCGTGGCCCGGCTGCGGGGCTGTGACCAGGGCGGGGAGTGGGGATTCCAGACACAGCCCTGCCAGGGACCGCTCTCACTGTCCCCTGCCGGGCTCAGGTGGGGACCTCACGGTGGTCCCGGGGCCCAGCACAGGACCCCTGTGGAAAAGGCCGGCAGGAGTGGTCACCGCATGCCACGGCCCTGCCCGAACCCGGCCCAGACTCCGCTGTCCCTGCCGCCCGGGCTCCCCTGTCCCAGGCCCCCAGAGCCGAAGTTTCTGCAGCGGCTGTTGACCCGGGGCCTCTCGCCGGGGGCCACACGGGGTGCGGGAGGAGGCCTGCAACCCCAGGGCAGCTCCTACCGAGGGGCGAGTCCGAGGGCCCCCTCCGCCCGGCGTCGGGGGCGCGGTCCCCAACACCCAGAGCCCCGGAGGTGACACAGCCCAGCCAGGTCGCCCGGGAAAGGGGGCGGGACGTGAAGTCCGAGCCGCGCCCGGGGCTGGGGAGGGGACTTGGCCCTGGCTGCCGAGGGGTCCCCGCCGCTCCGCCTCTTCCCGCCCAGGCCCCCCTCGCTCCCATCCCCCTCCCGCCCCGCGGGGCCCCCCCCCCCCCCCCCCCCCGCCCCGCCCCTCCCGTCCCGCCCGTCCCATCCGCGGGGCCGCAGCGCCTCCTGGTGTCGGGTCGGGCCGGGCCGGCGGGCGGGGCGGGTATAAAGGGGTGGCCGCGGCCCGGTGCCCTCCCTCCTGCTTCCTCGCGCCCGCGCCCCGGGCCGTCCTGACCGGAGGCTCCTCGGAACCAGGTGAGCGCGTCCCGAAGCCCCCAGTCTGGAAGCCGCTGGGCCCGCGGCGGCGACCCCGAGTCTCGGGAAGGCGACGGCTGCGTCCGGCCCCAGGGACGGCGCGCGGGGGTTCGGGCTCCTCCCCGCCCTGACGGCCCCGCGTCTCGGGGGTCCGAGCCCTCAGCCCGCGCCCGGGGCCACCTCCCCGCGGCCTCTTCTGGGGTGGAGCCCGCCCGGACGGGGTGGCGGCCCCTCTCTGCGCACGAGCTCCCTGCTGGGACCCCGCTCCCCGGAGGACCCTGGCACCGCGCGCCTCCCCAGGACCTGCGTCCAGCTCCCGCCCGCGGGGAAGACGCCCGGCTGAGCTGGGCCTCCGGGGGCACAGGGCCTCTCCCGGGTCCGGAGGGAAGGGGCGGGGGGCGGAGGCGGGGGGGCCTTGGGTGCCCGAGGGCGGAACGGGGAGGGCGGGGACGCGAACGCGGGTGGAGCCGACGCCCCATCCCTGCGCCCTCCGCGACGGGAGTCCCCAGGCCGGCGAGAGACTCAGGCCCCGGAGAGACCGCGGATGGGGGCGGCTCCACCGGGAGCCGGGACCCCGGCCGACAGCGACCCCAGCCCCTACCCGGCGCCCACACCCGCCCTGGGGCTCTGCGGGGGGCGGTGGTGGAACCCCCAGCCCAGCACACTGGCCCGGGTCTCCACTGCCGGCAGCCACGCGGATCGCTGCCTGTGAGCGGTGCCCCCCGGGCTGAGCCCGCCAGAACCCTCCCTGGACTAGGACCTGCCCTGTGGGGTCGGTACCCGGAGCGGAGGGGGCCTGCGGTGCGCCAGTTTCCTTCGTCCTCCGGCTCAGAGGCCCCTGGCCCGTCCGCTCTGCCGATTATTTTTAAGGAAGGCCGGGCCTGTAATCCCAGCGCTCTGGGAGCGCCGGGCATTGAGCCGAGATCGCGCCATTGCCCAAAAAAAAAAAAAATTTTTTTTAAAAAAAGGAAGGAAGGAAGGAGGAAAGAAAGTGTCCAGTGAGATGCTTTGGTTTAAACACGGCCCTGCACGCTGACTTGCTGCCTCCTGCGGCCTCTTTCACTCTATGCAAAGTCGGGGCCTGATGCGGGACCCCCTCAACAACAGGGGTCCCGGCGCTGCCCATGGAAGACCCTGCCCAGCCCTCGGGGCACTCGCTGGACGGGGCTGCCCGGGCCGCCCAGGATCCGAATCCCAGCCCGGCCTGCAGTGGAAGCTGCAAAGGGCAGGGCCGCAGGAGTCCAGCTCCCAGGGTGCCAGTTCTTAGGAGGGCGGCGTCTGGGTCCAGAGGGCGGAAACCTCCAGAGGCGCACCCCAGAAGTGGCGAGGAACCCGTCCCACAATGGATAGGAGCAGTTTTTTCTCTCTCATTTCATAGATGAGGAATGATGCCTTGTTGGGGTTTGTTCTGCACGTCTTTGGTTTTTGTGCAGCACAAGGTTATTTGGGCTATTTAATCACTGACCGTGTTAGTGTCAATTTCCTCATATTCCTAATGGGTGTTCTTGTCAAACTGAAGCCCATGGAGCATCAACTCCCGTCGCCCCTTCCCGCAGCCCCTGGCAGCCACCATGCCACTCTCTGTTTCCATGAATTTGGCCACTTAGGTGACTCATAGGAGTGAAAAAGTATGAAATTTCTCCTTTTGTCACTGGCTTATTTCACTTGGCTTAATGTCCTCCAGATTCGTCCATGCTGTAACATATGTTATCATGTCCTTCCTTTTTAAGGCTGCATAATATTCTACTGCATGGGTGTACCTATTGTGTTTATCCATATTCGTCTGTCCCTGGACTCGTGGGTTGCTACCATGAATGACGCAGCTGTGAAGACAGACATACGGATTCTTCTTCCAGATCCTACTTTTGGTTCTTTTGAGTGTGTACCCAGAAGTGGAATTGCGGATCATTCGATTTTTTAATATTTTTGAGGAATTGCCTCGCTGTTTCCCACAGTGGCTGCACGTTTTGGTTTCCCACCAGCAGGGCACCCAGGTCCAGTTTCTCCACGTCCGCACCAACAGGTGTCATTTTCTGGGGTTTTTTGTTTTGTTTGTTTTGTTTTAATGTTAACCATCCCAATGGGTGTGAGGTGGTACCTCATTGAGGTTTTGATTTGCATTTCCCTCATGATTAGTGACACTGAGCATCTTTTCATGTGCTTATCGGCCATTTATATATCTCTTGGGAGAAATACCTGTTTAAGTCCTTGACCCATCTTTGAATCAGGTCGATTGTTTTTGTTGTTGTTGAATTTTAGGAGCTCTTTATATATTCTGGATATCAATCTCTTATTAGATGCACAACTTACAGATATTTTCTCTCATTCTCTGGGTTGTCTTTTAACTCTGTTGATGGTGTCCTTTCACTAGATAGATGCAAAAAATGTTTTTAAATGTTGGTGTAATCCAGTTTATCTATTTTTTCTTTTGTTGCCTGTGCCCTTATCATCATACCCAAGAAATCATCACTCAAACCAATGTCATGAGGGTGTTGCCACATGTTTTCTTCTAAGGGTTTTAAAGTTTTAGGTCTTAAAAACTAAAGATCTGGGGCATGGATCCATTTTGAGTTAATTTTTATGTATGGTATCAGGTAAGGGTCTAACTTCATTCTTTTGCATGTGGATATCTAGTTTTCTCAGCACCATTTGTTGAAAAGACTGTGTTTATTAATGGTCTTGGCAGCCTGGTTGAAAGTCACATGTCCAAGGGTTTCTTTCGTGGCTCTCCATTTTATTCCCTTGGTCTGTATGTCTGTCTTTATGCCAGTGTCTCACTGTTGATGACTGCAGCTTTGTAGTAAGTTTTGAAATTAGGAGATGTGAGTCCTCCAGCTTTGTTCTTTTCTTTAAGGATTTTTGTTGGTTTTTTTTTTTTTGTTGTTGTTTGTTTGTTTGTTTTGACTATTCGGGGTCCCTTAAGATTCCATATTTGGAATTTGGGTGATATTGACATCTTAATAATATTAAGTTTTTCAATCTATGAACAAGGATGTCTTTTTTAATGTCTTCCTCAATTTTTTTCAGAAATATTTTGTAGTTTTCATCGTACAGGTCTTTCACCTCCTAAGTCAATTTTTAAGTATTTTATTCTTTTTGATACTATAGTAAATAGAATTGTCTTAATTTCCTTTGGATTGTTCATTGTTAGCAAATAGAAATACAACTGATTTTTATGTGTTGACTATGTATTCTGCTATTTTGCTGAATTTGTTTATTAGTTATAACAGTTTTTGTGGAATTCTTAGGGTTTTCTACATATAAGGTCAAATCATCAGTGAACAGAGACAATTTACTTCTTTCTTTCCAATTTGAATGCCTTTTATTTCTTTTTCTTGCCCAATTGCTCTGGCTAGAACTTCCAGTACAGTGTTAACAGAAGTAGTGAAATCAGGCATCCTTTCTTTATTTCTAACCTTAGAGGAAAATCTTTCAGTCTTTCACCACTGAGTATGATGTTCACTGTGACTTTTTCATATAATATGCCTTTTATTATGTGAGATAGTTTCCTTCTGTTCCTAACTTGTTGAATGTTTTTGTCATGAAAAGCTAGTAAATTTTGTCATATGCTTTCTCTGCATCAACTGCAATGATCATGTGAGAGGTTTTTTTTCCTCCTTCATTCTGCTAATGTGTATTACATTGATTGATTTTTTTTGTATGTTGAACTATCCTTGCATTCCAGAAATAAATCCCACTTGGTCAATTCATTAAATTCCATTTAATTGTATCAAATGATACTGAATTTAGTTTACTATTAATAGTATTTTCTTTAGAATTGTTGCATCAATTTTCATAAGGAATTGTAGTTTTCTTCTCTTGCAATATCTTTGTCTCGCTTTGGTATCAGAGTTAAATAGTGTTAAATAGTGTTCCCTTCTCTTCAAGTTTTTTGAAAAAATTTGAGAGGGTTTGGTATTAGTTCTTTATGTGTTTCTTAGAATTCACCAGTGCAGCCATCAGGTCCAGAGGTTCTTTATCAGGAGATTTTTGATTATTGATTCAATCTCCTTGCTAGTTATAAGTCTATTCAGATTTTCTATTTCTTCATGATTTTGTCTTGATAGGTTTTGTGTTTCTGGAAATTTTTCCATTTTATTTGTGTTATTCAAATTGTTGTCATATAGTTGCTCATAGTACAGTCTTATAATATTTTTTATTTCTGTGGAATTGGTAGCAGTGTTGCCACTTTCACTTATAATTTTGGTAATTTGATTTTCTTCTTTTTTTTCAGTCCATCCAGCTAAAGGCTGGTGAATTCTGCTGATCTTTTCAAAGAGCCAACTTTCGTTGTATTTTATTTTCTCTATTATTTGTCTATTTTCTGTTTTGTTTATCTTTGGTATGATCTTTATTGTTGCCTTCTTTCTGCTAGCTTGGAGTTTCATTAGTTCTTTTTCTAGTTCCTTACATTGTAAAGTTAAGTTCCTGTTTGAAATCTTTCTTTTTTAATGTAAGCATGTATAGTCAGGAGTTTCCCCCTTTGCACTGCTTTCACTGTCCCACAGGTTTTTAAATTTATGTTTTCATTATCATTCATCTCTAAGTATTTTATAATTTCCCTTATGATTTCTTCTTTGATCCTTGATTATTTAACAAAGTATTTAATTTCCACAAATTTGTGATTTTTAAAATGTTCTTGTTACTGATTTTCAACCTTACTCCCTTGTGGTCTGAAAAGATATCTTGTATAATGTAGACCTTTCAAAATCTGTTGACACAGACATTGTTGTTGCAACTGCCCCCATCATTGCAAGCCCTTCTCCCTCTGGTTGAAGTGACTTCCAGGAGACTTAAAGGGCTGGCAGCCTTTTCTCCCTTCATTTTTCTATTTTCTCCTTTTGAGACTTACACATTAAAGACTAGCAGATTCAAAAGCAACCATATATTTGGAGAAAATTAAGAAGTCATTGTATTTGCTCAGGGGAAGTCACAGGCTCAGAAAAGACCTAAAAAGACCTTAACTTTACACTGTATGATGATCCTTAGCACAGAGACAG